ATCTGATGTTACGAAGCACAGTCATAATCGCCATTGTCAATGATCATAATAACTTCTTTATGGGTATTGTTTCATCCTTCCAGACTTTTCTTGCAAATTAAAATCATGTATGTCACTACTTACTTTGCAGTAATTGCAAACCACAAGGATAATTTTAATGTGTTCAATGACGGATACAGCCAATTCAAAAAAGGTTGTCCTTTGCAAACCTTAACTCTAAACCTTCATTAACCTTAAACTCTAAGCTCGCAAAGGTTAATGGGAGCATAAGTTTCATGCAAGCTTAGTGCTTGAATATTGCAGCTATTTGTGAATGAATTGTTCTCGTAATGAGATATTTATCTTGTCTCAAAGAAATGGGCCCCAAATATGCTTTCAAAACTGATTAAGTGATGCTCCCATTATGCTTTGCACGCTTAGAGTTTAAGGTTCAGTTTAATAGAGTTTAAGATTTGCACAGGACAACCTTTTTTGAATTAGCTGTATATCAGATTCCCACGCCTTGAGTGCTATATTATGCACGCGGACAAAAAATCCCTGGAGGGGCCCAAGCAATTTTACCTCCTGCGCTATAGTTAGAATAGAGTTGTTTTATAATGTACGTGAAAAAGTATTCGGACTCATAGGCGTACCGGGCGGGGGGGGGGCGGCATCCCCCCAGTTTTTTGGGGCAAATTCAGTAAATTTTGTCTAAAATTTGGAAAATTTGTATTATGTTCCGAAAAATATTGGTTGTCCGGAAAATTTTTTTGACCCCTAAAATGGTACACTGACCGAAAATTTTTTTGACGACGGGGGGGGGGGATTCGCCAAAATAATTTTTCCGGAAAAAATTTTTTGGTACTAGTCGGGCAGAATCCGAAAAGTCGGGCAATTTTCTTTCCGCCCCCCTAATTTTTTCCTTCCGGTACGCCCATGTTCGGACTCCCACGCTATCCATGCATAATAGAGTGCAATGAACGTTTAGGGGAGGGGGGGGGTGGTAAATTCTAGATAGAGTCGGTAAAGTGGAATTTTTGGGGCAATTCAACTCTAGTTAATCACAAACGAATCCAGAACATTTAAAACATAGAAAGATAAAAAATTTCCATTACAAGAAATGATAATGTAATGCATATATGCTTGTGCTGGTCAGAATTTCTCCAAGGGGACCCCAATATTTTGCACTTTTTAGAAGTCCAGCCTTTTTTGCTAAGCAGCATTCAACATCTGTGACCTAGCGCTTCTCAAGGCTAGGATTGCTATAACTGTATTAGCTGAGCACGAGTGTACCTTTATGTCGTGTGACATGTGTACAAAGTCGTCTGTCGTGAGTAAATTCCGTCACCCATTGTCGCTAAATTAAACTGATTAGCGAAAAGAATATTTTTTACCAATGTGAATTTTAAGGAAGTGACCATGACCGGATCTAACTTGCCAACGTTTTTTGTCGTTTTTCAATTTTCTTTTTATCATCATGCTAAAATGGCATCAAGTCACATGCTGAGCGATGAGCGTGGATTTTGTTCACGAACTTTTTCAAGTTTGTGCAAAAGAAGTGGCGATAACATATTGCTCAATATAGCTCATCAATAAAAGTCTGCCAAATTTACTCAATTTAGATAAATTTGTTAAAACATTATTTAACTATGGTTAAAATAACTTGAATTTTGGACTCCAAATACGGTAAATATAATATCAAATTACATTGTTGTTATATTGTCGCGAGGGCGTAAATTCACATCGCTCAAAGTGTGACTGTATGCCTTTCGGTGCTCGCCAGGCAAGTGCTGGGTGGTCACTGGCTGGGTGCTCACTTTATAGCTCCGTTATAGCTCCGTGGGTCGAATAGTGATCGAATCCCTGAAGGAAGATTCCGTGACCTGCGAACAGGTGCTTACGATTAGGGGTTAGGGAAATTTCGGAGTCGAGTACGGGTGAGGTTCCAGTTTTATTATTAGGGAGTTCAAGATGCATCAAATCTGCGACGCGGACGCGACTAAAAAACAGTTGGAAATAATTGGAGACTAGTTTTACTTTGTTTTACTCGTGTCCCTGGCTTTGTTTACCAACAACAATCCATAGTTTTTACCCGTGATGACTGGAAACGAGCTCGTGTAATTCCCATTTATAAGGCCGAAGACAAACGTAAATGTGAAAATTATCGGCCGATTTCAATCTTGCCAATCGTAAGTAGAGTCTTTGAAAGAGAGGTGTTCAATTAGGTGTATCGTTATCTCTCTGAGAATTCTTTGCTGTCTAGATTTCAGTCGGGATTCCGCTCTAAACACTCAACATTACTGCTCTGATACAAATGTTCGATGACTGGCTACAGAATATGGATAACGGTAATTTGAATTGTGTAGTATTTCTTGATGTTCGAAAAGCATTTGATTCTATAAATCACGAAATACTACTACACAAAATGCATGACTATTTTGGTATATCCGGTATACAACTGAAATGGTTCGAGTCTTATTTGAGTAATAGCGAACAACAATGTATGGTTAATGGCCAGGTCTCGTCACCTAACAATATTATATGTGGAATTCCACAGGGCTCAATTTTAGGGCCCTTATTGTTTTTATTGTATATAAACTATATGCCTAAATCTTTGAAATATGTTACTCCATCTATGTATGCGGATGATACAGAAATTTATGCATCCTCCAAACATTACGATGAGCTCGTAGCAAACTTAAACTGTGACCTTGATAATGTTCGTAAATGGATGTTACAAAATAAGCTCCAAATTCATCCAACTAAGACCAAATATATGTACATTGAATCCCCTTATAATATAAAAAATAAAACCTCAAGTAACCCCATTTTAATTAACAACATACCAGTGCCTAGAACTGAAACCTGTACATGCCTGGGCGTTAACCTGGACGAAAGGCTTACATGGGAAAAACATATTGACGAGATCTGTGCCAAGGTAGGGGCTGGAATTGGGGTTATGAGAAGGATGAAGCCCTTCGTTCCTCTAGAAACACTAAAACTAACTTACAATGCCATTGTGCAACCGTATTTTAATCACTGCAGTCCCCTTTGGGACAACTGTGGAATTGGTCTCAAGGATAAGCTTCAAAAATTCCAAAATCGCGCTGCGAGAGTGATATCTGGGTCCACCTACGATACTCGATCAGTTCATGTGCTTAATACGCTATGTTGGGAAACTCTGGATCAAAAACGTAACTACACAAAATCGATCTTTATGTATAAGATAATTAATGGTCATGCCGCCCCCAATCTAAAACAATCCTTCCGATTGCACCGTGAAGGTGATACCTTGCATGACCTTAGAAATTGTGCCATACCTAATTTTAGTGTGTAATGCGGATAACCAATTTGTGCAGTGATAAAAGTAAAATGTGCAGTGATAAAATGTAAAATGTGCAGTGATAAGATTTGCTTTGATAAGTTGTAATTAACACAAGAAAATGAGACAATGTCAATGAGCAGAAAAACTGAACTAATCCGGCGAAACATTTTGAATGAGTATGATTTAAATGAAATTGAAATGATGACTGCCAAATTGTCGAACGTCCGCACTAATAACATACTTATGGTTTATCAAAAGAACAAAGTCTCTCACCAAAGATCTCTTCATGGGTTTGGAAGATGGAGTGAATGATACTTAAGATTTTATAATTACTGTATAATTTTCAGAATTCTATAGAATGTCCCGCGCATTGCAGGAGATGCCCTTTTATAGTGCCTAGATTACAAAATTGTCTGTGGGTGCATGTCCCTGGAACTACTCTAGAGATTTGTCACACCAAAGCCCGTAAGCCGCCTTTCATTTGCCAAGAGGAAAATATTTATTTTCTTCAGTCATGTTATTATGAAACTAAGCTGTCATAGATAGTCGTAACTGCAGGTGCTGTCAAGGCCGCCCAGAGGGGTGCAATTTGCCCTGGGACCGGAGTTAAAGGGAGGCCCAAATAAAGAATTGCAGTGAAACACTGAAATGTACCACATAGATATAACTGTCAACTAGACTTCCAGAATGCAGGATTTGGCCATTTCTGGGACCTCATGTTAGAACATGGAATCACGAGAGCCCCCAAGTCAAAGTTTGTCCTGGGCCCCCAAATTTCCCTGATTGCTTTGCAGTGTATGTTCGTTTTGGCATTTTTGAATATAAATTGTAGCCTGCTCTGTTGTTACACATTTTAAGGGTGTGTTCAGAATTTTCAAGGCGTGCTTCTGCTCGGCTAAACTTTGCACAAAATTAAAATGTGCAGTGATAAAAAATTCTTAAAATTAGGTATGAATCGTGCTACCGACTTGGCACTTCCAAAACCTAAAAGAGAATTCGGTAAAAGGAGTTTTAAATACAATGGAGCTATCCATTGGAATAATTTACCTATTAAAGCAAAAAATGCAAATACCATTACCACATTTAAAAGGATTTTAAACTCGCAGCGAGTTGAAGCTGACTCACCTTGATAAACGATTATTTTAAAATAGTTTAGTTTCAATGTATTTTTCTGTATTTGATAATCCTTCTGAGTAGTCCTTGTATTAATCTGTAATTCGTCTTAGTAATTTGTGACTGTATTTTATTTTGTACTTGTAAGTAATATCTTTAATGTCTATCATAATTTGTAAGTAGCTTCAGTTTATGTATTTTGCAATACACGCCCCTCATGAAAACCAGCGAACGCTGATGAGGCTAGCGTGACTAAATAAATGATTATGTATGTATGTGAAGTGAAACTGTGATAATAGCGGTAGTTTCTTGTCACGTCCGCGTCGTAGATTTGGTGTATGCTCCCTATTATGTGAAACAACCGCTGGCTATGCAAATGCATGATCAAACCAAATACACAGCAAAAAACGCCGAGACCGTTGCTCAACAGGACTGAACAATGTTTTGCTGCCCACGTTGTTCACACTTGTCAACAATATTGAACAATGCTGTTGAGCCTGAATCGGGTGTAACAATATTGTTCAATATTGTTGACAGCTATGAACAATGTGGGCAGCAGAACATTGTTCAATCCTGTTTTCATCAGTATTGCATCAACCTGAGCGTTTTTTGCCGTGTAGGCAAAGCTCTTATTTTTTTATTTTTATATTTAATAAAATGACTTTGATGCAGAGGCGTAGCCACTAGCCAGGGCTGGGGGCCCCGCCCCTCCCCCCCCCCTGGCAAAATGTTGGGCCCCCTCTGATAAAATGTATTGTATAAAAAAGGGAATTCTTGATTATATATATAGCTTCATGCTGTCATGCAATAATGCAAAAATTCTGTAGAATACATGCTTTGCTGCGCATCAGTGTGAAATCTAAAATCTTGTTCGCTTATTTGCGGCCGACACAGCTTATTGAAACACATACCTTTTATAACCCTAATTATTTCAATATGTATTAAATGAGGGTTAGATGAAGTTTAAACAAATCTGGTTTTCACATGTGCAGTGGTGCCGTGGCCAGGGGATAATGCCCCCCCCCCCCCTATTGTTGAGACCCGTCGGAAAATTGTCAATGTTGTCGGAATCTTCGTGGTGAAGCATCGGAAAAAGTGCTATGGAAATCGAAAAAAGTGCTACGAAAGCAATTGTAATGTTATTGTCCGGAAAAATTTTTTACCAAAAAAGTTGGTGACGGGAAGGGGGAAATTTTAAAATGTCGTTGTCCGGAAAATTTTTCCTTGGCCCCACCTGGGTTTTTGCTGCCCCTCCCCCTGACCAAAAATTCTAGCTACGCCTCTGCTTTGATGACTGTCTTAAACTTAAATTGTTTGTTTCAATGAGTTATTTTTATGAGCGAAAACGTTGTCAAAAGAGGCAGTAGAGGTATTAAAACAGATTGAGTAACATTTGTGTTTTGTTTGGCAACTCAGCGTGAATTTTCTTTGTCATTTACAAAAACCACAACCCGGCTCTATTTTGCTTTCTTCTCAGTCAAATATCGCGTCTTTTAAATAAATTTAATTAAAATCTAAAACTGACTCCAACAGAACACCAGCATCCAAATTTTTATTGAAATTTCTTCTATTTTTACTCGGAAAATAATTAAAGGAAAATATACACGTTCAGTGGACCGCGCAAGTAAGAGGACTGAATCTGACGCACATATAGAAAAATCAACACTGCGGACAAACGTCCGCGAAAGACTGGCAATAGTATTGTCTTCACGGAGATCAAGCAAAAAGTTTAAAGAAAATTACGAGAGTTTAAACTCAGCAAAACATTGTCTTGACACAAGAAAAAAGCGGTGAATTAAGATCCCTACCTTATAGCTTCCACCGTTTCCTTATAGTAAATGCTGTACTTTTTCTGTATTTAACTCTTATTATTTTGGCAGACATTTTCCCCACCATTTCCGTCTACTCGCGCATGAGCTTTAGTTTACGTTTGACCGCGGTGTGTTGGAAAAAACAGAAATTGATTACTCTTGCATCACCTGATAACTGAGGCACTGAGCACTTGTTGATCGTTTTCTTGTAGATATTCTGACAATCAAAGAGCTCAAGATGCGATCAACATTACGTTGTTTCATTGGGGAATCCACGGTTGGATCGTTTATGCTGTTGTTGGCTTGCTGATGGCATTTATTGCATACAGAAAGGGACTTCCCATGACAATACGTTCCTGTTTCTATCCTCTCATTGGTGATAGAATCTATGGCTGGATGGGTGACCTTATTGACTCGCTCTCGGTTATTGCCACCATGTTTGGAGTATGCACTAGTCTCGGTATTGGCGTTATTACAATCAACTCAGCATTGAATCGTATCAATTCAGATATTGAAGAGAACACGGACAATCAGATTATTTGCATTTGGATAATCACAGCAATTGCAACAGTCTCAGTCGTGTCTGGCCTAAAAATTGGTATCAAATATCTCAGCCAAATTTGCTTCACCCTCGGTATGTTTCTAATGACGTTCGTCTTCTTTTATGATGACACTTGGTTCCTGCTGAATGTCTATGTTCAAAGTATCGGGTATTACCTCCAGTATATCATTCAACTTGGATTTCATACAGATGCGTTCGCACAGCTCGGAAATGCTCCGGATGGAAAACAAGCCCCAAATTGGATGGATGGCTGGACAATCTTTTACTGGGGTTGGTGGATTGCTTGGTCACCATTCGTTGGTATGTTTATCGCAAAAATCTCCCGTGGAAGAACGGTTAGGAATTTTATCAACGCCACTCTCACTGCTCCCATCTTTTACACCTTTCTCTGGTTTTGCATCTTCGGAGGAGCTGGTCTACGAATGGAACGTGATGCTGCTTTAAAAGGGATCAACTGTTCTTCAGTGTTGGGAGGAACAAATGCAACCGAAGGTCTTGATAAACTCTACAGACTTTCATGCAGAAAGCAAACACAGATGTATTTCGACGTCCTTGACCAATATGGCGAAAATCTAAGTGGCTTTCTTCGCGTTGTATCATTAATTGCAATGGTCCTTTACTTTGTGACAAGTTCGGACAGTGGTTCGTTGATTATTGATTGTCTTTCAGCTAATGGCAGTCCGGAGCCCCCAGTACTTCAACGTATCTTCTGGGCATTAACTGAAGGAGCTTGTGCCACAGCTCTTCTCTACACTGGTGGATCAAAGGCGCTCACTGCTCTACAGACTGTCTCTATTGCTGGTGGGTTGGTCTACACGATTATTCTGAATTTCATGTGCGTGTCTCTTTGGAGAGTTATGAAAGAGGAAGCAGGAGATAACGACCCCGATGCTCGTCACTTTCCCAGCAGCATTTATGCTTTCTTCGACTTCGGGTCAAGCGATAAATTCATCAACGTGATCGTCACCACATTTGCACCCTGGTGGCTGGCCGGCAAAGCAGCTGGTAAAGTCTATGGCCAAAATCCATGGCCACACATGCTTGTCCTTGGCTCGTTGTTCTACGGTTGGATCGCATTGCTTATCTTGGAAGTTCTGGAAGACGGTCTCTCGTATATTGGTTGGGTTATTCTCTGTGGATTCTTTGCCTATGTCACTGGAATACGAATCCACGTTCGTGCACGTTACGGAATCAGTGGTACAATGAGCGAAGATGCAATTGCTGTGGTATTCCTGTATCCGCTTGCCATTGATCAGATCTACGAAGCAGTGCTACTGGATGGCAACTATTCTGGAGGAAAAAGACCGCAGCCGACACCCGTTGATATTGGTTTGGATAATATGGGCGAAAAAAATTACGATTCTAGCAACGGACACACTAAGGCGGGCGAGAGTCAGAACACTCCGTTTTAAATATTCTTTAATATTTATCTATATAATTTTTCACTAGCTTTTTATAATACATCGTTAGACCCTGCACTTAGATAGAGCTGATGCGAAAGGTACCATGGGGAATGGCGCGCGGCATACAAACCACTATACTGAAGTTGCCTAAACGTATAAAATATTTCGACAGTTCTCTTCAAAATGATTGATATTGGCACGATTTGATAGTTTAGCATCATATTTTTATTAATATGATTTAAATTAGAGCCATTGTCTATTAAATACTTATAATTTGTTATTGATAGGCGTGGTTGATTTAAACGAAGACAAATTTGCAGTTGTATTTTGGGGTCACAAATCACTACAAAAATAAATGCAGTCAAACTTTGATTTCACCTCTATTTTTACAAAGTAAACCGATCAATATCGGTTATTTCAGTGCAAAGCAAAACAATTTTAAAACAGCTCATTTCAAATTTTAGAGCTATCCACTTTATTCCGATTTAGAATTGTCCCCAACATTATTGCATTGACAAAGTAACAAATGCTCAAATCAGAATGTCGTTATCGTATCAACCTGAGTCGATATATTGCCGAACTATTTATTCATGCAACAAATGTCACAACTGCATACATGCCGCGAAATTTCATATCTTGTAAGAAATCGAATAGTCCTTGCAAGAAATATGGAACAAAATCCCCTGCATAGCACTATATTCGCGTCCACCCATGGTCATGCATACCGTACTTTTCGTAATGGTTCTCATTTGCAGTATACTATATATACACCGTATACGAGGCATCAATTGCAGTAGTATATATATAAAAATTTTATACACAATCCTGACATAACATTTGTATACATTCATGTACATTATAACAAACTGATTGAATTATGTGATTTCCGCATCTGTGCAGTGTTCATTCGTTCTGCACGTTCACCATTCGCAGTTGTTTTTGGTTCAGTTTGTGACTGACTCGTACCATGCTGCATATAGGCGATTGAGAGGAATGGACTATAGAAACGCCATTATTAATTCTGTGTTAATTTGAAACTCAAAAATTACCTTAAAGTTCCATACAGTGCAAGGTCGTTTTGTCTGCCGGCTTTGTTGTACGTCTACTATATATGTACAATAATAGTCCAGGGTCTTTTTAGTTACAGGGTTGGTACTGACAGGTTGCAAGCCACCGTGGATTTCGCGAATGCTGACAGGTTATTGCATTGACAATTATCAGTCCATTCCTCTCATGCAATTATGTATCTCGTACCCAGTCGTTTTAATTTTATATTATTATAATACATATAAATCAGTGGACTGAGTTTTTAGACGCAACATTTAATATCAATTTTAGAAAAATGTAATTGTAAAATCATGAATAATAAACTAAAAATCAATCATGGGGGTGTTATTTATAATAGGTCTAATACATGAAATACACGTAAAATAAACTTAAGAATACTGAGGATTTGTAGAAAATGAAAGTTTAAAAGAATACTACTGCGATTAACAGGTGGAATCATCTGTATAATTGTTCACTTGACAAATACGACAAGAATCACGACAAAACTAAAGATCAAGGCATGAAACAATAATAGCTCGCGCTATGCGATCGCCACTGTCATTAGGGACCTTGAGCACGTGGGATGGCAATGCGACGACGACGACGGGTCGGCAAACTGATACTCGTTTAGCCAAATAACTGTAATGAAAACCTGTCGACAGCCATCTATTATCCATCGTATGAAATTAATTCAGTTTAAGGATCAATGTTAAGACCAGGGTCAGGAGTTTATGGTTGAGAGAAGTTGTACAACTAAATTAAAGTTACAGTTGTCGCAGCTTGAAATATATGTTATAAGACGTGACGTGATAATCTATGTCAGACTGTGACTTGCCGTTGCAAACAAAGGGAGGATGACGTCTAAAATCCCGCAAAGTTTTCATCATTTATTTCATTGCTATAATATTTATGAATTTAAGGTGGCTCCCTACAATTTTTGAAATATGACAAAATCGTGATTTAGATTTAATTTTTTGAAGAGAGGTTTCTTGTTAGAAGACAAAAATTGTACCACATATATTCAGCAATCTTCTAAAAGTTGAAAATTGTTCACAAAAATGACGTCATTACCGTTGCTATGGTAACAATGACGTTTCAATATAGCCAACATTTTACCTTTTGACCAGGGGCGTAAGAACCGGGGGGGCCAGGGGGGCCATGGCCCCCCCAAGTTTTGGCAAGTGCCCTTTTTACAGGAGCAAAGTGCCCTTTTTGTGCCTGAAAAAATTTCATAAAATTCGCAGTTTTTGTCCAAACGAAACTTTTGAAAACTGTAATGTAGGTTTTTTCCCGAAAAATGTTTTAGTTTCCGATAAAAATATCATATATTTGTTTTTCCGGAAAAAATATTTAGTATTTAAGGAAAAATATGGTATGTCCGGAAAATTTTTTTACCCCTAAAATGGTACACTGACCGAATTTTTTTTGGCGACGGGGTGGGGGTCGCCAAAAATTTTTTTGAGATGCCCTTTTTTTTTTGAAAGTGCCCCTCAAAGCCTGCCCCCCCCCAACTTTTCTAAGCTTCCTACGCCCCTGCTTTTGACACATTTTACTCGAAAAAAAGGCCGGTTACCCGTTTTCATGTAGAAAAATGAATGATGTGAACAAGTTTAAAAAAATTCTGTAGATCCAAAAAATATTTTATCACGAAAAACGATCACATTTTTTAATTTTTTAAAAATTCAGATCTACAGAATTTTTTTAAACTTGTTCACATCATTCATTTTTCTACATGAAAACGTTTCATGAAATAAAAAATGGGGGTAACCGGCCTTTTTTCGAGTAAAATGTGTCAAAAGGTAAAATGTTGGCCACTGATATTGAAACGTCATTGTTACCATAGCAACGGTAATGACATCATTTTTGTGAACAATCTTAGAAGATTGCTGAATATAGTCGGGCAGATAGAAGGAAAAAATTTACGTTATCGTGGGACAATTCCATTTTGCCTTCATAGTGTGCCTTGAAGGCTAGTTAGTACGTTTCTGTATGTTGGCCGCGTTGAAATTTCTTGTGGGCTCTGCCGACACGTTTTTGGTCGAATGTTGTATTGAACTCTATCACAGTAAAAAAATGTGAAATTTCAAATACATTTCTAACACAAATGACTTACAGCATTTGAAAGCTTGCAAGTTCTTCTTGAGTTATGAGCTGTTGAATGCGTGTTTTCAGACTAGTGCCCAGGAATTTTGTGAGATTTTGGCTTATTCTTACATTTGAAACGGCAATAACTTGAAAACCGCTTGAAAATCCCAACTAACCATTTAAATGTTTCATATGTAGTTTTTTGTTAGCGCTCTATTGATGCAAGTAATTTGTATTAGAAATGTATCAGAAATTTCACATTCTTTAACTGTAAAAAACGTATCGGCAGGAGCCTACAAGAAATTTTAACGCGGCCAACATACAGAAACGTACTTATTAGCCTTCAGGGCACAATATGAAGGCAAAATGGAATTATCCCACGATATGGTAAATTTTCCATAATTTTGGTCCTCTATCTGCCTGACTAATATATGTGGTACAATTTTTGTTTTCTAACAAGAAACCTCTCTTCAAAAAATTAAATCTAAATCACGATTTTGTCATATTTCAAAAATTGTAGGGAGCAACCTTAATTGTATTAATAGCATTTTCGTCTTGCTTTCTAAGGTAGACTAACGATAGTTAATAATTTGTCGTTAACTAAAAGTATAAATTTAATACGTTTAAGCCTTCAGCTTATATGTTCGCTAATCGACCGTTTGTATTTAATCTATTACTTTAATCCGTTCGCTCTATAGATTGACTCTTTGACTATTTAGAATGCTGATCAAATTATATATAGCAGCAATAAAAAATTAACATTTCATTCTTTATCACATCGTTGTCTCACGACGGGCACCAAAATTTGTGCAAGTCATGCCATCCTTCAAGATGAATGTTGCGGGTGCATCTTCCTGCTCCAGCTCCATGTCGGCTCCAAGATCATTTCCGAAGTCGTTACGGGAAAACCTTTCAATAACTGCTGCACCAATCCCATCCCCAGTGATGTTGCACACAGTACGGAACCGATCTCTGAGAAATAACACTTATTTGAATTAGTATTGAATATATAGGTATAATAGCCAACCTCATACGTATACCCATGCAGAGCTTCTAGCTGCTGTCGTGCACGACTATTATCCCCACCACAGATTAAGCCGTGTATATATATACCAGATGTGTAACTTTAAAAAACACGAACTTTTGCATTTTATTGCGGCTTTTTCGGATCGAAATTTATGGATTAAACAATCAAGAGCATCATTTGTTGAATGTTTAAATTTAAAGTTGTCGAAAGCAATTAAGTTGTAGAAAAAGTGTTAAAAGCATTTTGACATTATGACATTTGACATTTTGACGTATTACCAAATGACGAAAAATCGCGCGAGCGACTCTTACTAGGACGATGGCGACCAATGTGACAACTTTTTTACTGACGTTACACATCTGTTCATACTCTATGTCCCTACCTGGGATGGTTTATCTCAGAAGGCGATTTGATTGGTCAATGGGCCAGGAATTAAAGCAAGCCCTCTTTGCGTATTCTATCATGCATGCGGTTTTGTATTGGAATATAGGATGATAAGTTGGTATATCTAAATCTTTCAAATACAGTGAACCAGCAGATGAAAGGGGTCATCTTAATTTGTCCGTGGAAGTAATTTTAGGTCTTGCTGCTCTGAACAGTAATCTGTTATTTGTTATTAAAAAAGCTGTTAGACGAGGAGGTTAGGTTAATGTTAAATACCGGGCCAGTTCAAAATATCGTTTCCTTCACGGTCAAATTATATCTGCATGGCTATTAAATAATAGTAATGACAATCAAATTTGTCTGCCTTTAGCCTCTTCTCAGGCCGAAATTTCAAACAAAGCGGCGCTGGCAGTTGCTCTCCCCATGCATGCACCTCACCGAAATTTTCACCACTGACTAGCTTGTATATACAAAGAGGATATTTCAGAAATCGTTATTCAATAATTGGGATAGTTCTATGCAACATTTTTACTATTTTAATATGCTGTAGCCTGTATATTCAAATCTGTCTTTGTGCATGCACCTCGGCAGCTACATCGGTATCTACATGCAACCTACCGTACTATCTCACATATTAAAACCAGATGTGCAAGTGCACTATTTATACATTTGAAGTAGAACTGTATACAATCTATAATTAATAACAAATACTGTAGACCAAACCAAGTATATAATTAAAGCACTGGAGATATATCTTTCATTTCTGCTTTGTATGTACAGTATTATGTTACTCTTTGCCAAAATGCCAAGGTTATATAATAAAGTGCTAACCACATCTCATCAACTTCCTATATATCACCCCCAAGCAATTCTGTTTCTGGCTTCTGCCCTTTACCGGTGGAGCGAACGCCTTGAGCAGGCGTCTTGTTTTACAAAAAAAATGTCTTTTGTCTGATATACATGCAGTCGGGATTTAGACCCCTTCATTCAACGTTAACAGCTATATGCTTGATGCCACTGATAAATGGTACACAAATATGGACAGTGGGTTAATTAATGCTATCTTATTCATTGATTTGAAAAAGGCTTTTGATACCATTATTAATTGATCATAACATTTTGCTACAGAAGAATTAAGTAACTTGTTTAATAATATAAAACTATTGATCTTTTTAGAAACTATCTTTCTGATCGTACTCAAATAATATTAACAACATTCGGTCTGATACTCGTAAAGTAACACGTGGTGTTCCCCAGGGGTCTATCCTAGGTCCACTACTGTTCTTAATATATATAAACGACCTACCTAATAAAGTGAATTGGTATCAGATGGGCGTTTATTCGCTGATGATACCAATTTGACATTTGCGGACAGCGACCCAGACAAGTTAATCTCTGTTCTAAATGATGATCTTAAAACTCTCCAAAACTGGCTTAAGGTGCTCGATATAGTTATCACAAAAACCCTGCTCAAGAATCGCGAACTCAAAACCAGGTAACCATTTTTACGCGCGGGTCGCGGAAACTGATTAACAAAATGAAAGAACTTCCAAAATGACCTGACGTGAGCAGTTGCTTGCGCCATATCACGCCATTGCGTGTGTTCTATAGCGTTTTATGACAATTGCTGACGTCATTAGAATTTTCCATTTTAGAAAAACAATGCGCTATATCTCTTTATTTTGTCTGGTGACCTATGTTCAAATTTTGCATGCTGTATTGCACCGCTAAAAACTTTCATTATACAAAAAATAAAAAAATTCTGTAATGCCAAAAAAATGTTATTGAAGAATATGACATTTTCGCATTTTCCAAAAAAATGGCATTACAGAAATTTTTTATATTTTGCTAATTGTTAGCTTTTCGTCCAAGTAAAATAATGCACGAAAAAAAATTGGGGGTCACCATGCTTCTTTTCCAACTATACGAGACGATAGGCCATTTTGGAGTGAATTTCGTACACGTATGTCGTCATAGCAACGAACTATCTGTTACTAAAACTAATATAATTTGAAAGTAAAGTTATCAAAATATATAAAAAAAACAATATCTGTTGAATAAATCCTAAAAATACGTAGTTTGAACATGTCAAAGTGTTAAACACCTGAATTTTCGAAAAGTGTATCGAGCCACCTTGGACGAGAGTTTGACATGGGAGTATCATGTGTTTTCTATAATCTCCAAAGTCTGCAAGGTGATTGGAGTTTTACGAAGACTAAAACCATTACTTCCACAGTCGACTCTTGTCTTGATTTACAACTCTTCAATACACAGCCACACTTTGATTATTGTAGCATTATTTGGGATAGCTTAGGCAAGAGTCTTGGACAAAAGCTACAGCGTTTACAGAATAGGGCTGCAAGAATTATTACTGGATCTGATTACAACATTCGGACCTCAGATATCTTAACATTATTGAATTGGACCAACCTTGAAACCAGACACACTATTTCATACCAATGAATGAATATTACATGGTTCCTATAGTTACTTGTCAAGAAAATTTACTCCAACTTCTATGATACACGAACACTTTGCGAGGCTCTAATCATAAACTTTTTGTTGCAAGACCCTTAACTGAATCCTTAAAGAAAAGCTTTACTTATAGAGGGCCTATACTCTATGGAACGACATACCCGTCGAACTCGCTAGAGCTCAATCTCTCGCTGAGTTTAAATATAAAATTTCTTAATAATTGTATAATATTAGTTTGAAAATTCTTTGCATATATGTAGTCTGAAACTCTTGTAAATATTTTGATATTTATTTTTTTAGAAATTAGTTTACTATATAGCATATATAAGGTACACGTCTTCATTGAAAAGCACATATTTTAACTTGTGAAATGGATCTCGTGTTTTAAATAAAGATGTCAATCAATCAAATCACTCATTGTTGGATATAAGAATATCTAAACTTGGGAATGCAACTATATGCAGTCATAAGTACAACGTTCGGGACAGCATATATACTTTGGGAATTTTAATAATAATAATAATAATAATAGTCTTTATTAAAATACTCAGATACATCCGTCTGAGTTTACAATCGAAAGATAATTGATCTAGATAGTTATATTTACAATGTAAGTTAAGAAGCGTAAACAGTTTTAAAAAGTTTTAAATACATTAAAGTCTAAACAAAGTTATACAGACAACGATTTATGAACGACCTTTTGAATCTTTCTGTTCTCACTAGGGGGAGTTCATACTCATGCCCTCTAGGCCTAAGTAACCTACTTCTTTTTTCCGGCAGCAGTTCAAGCAATGCATTGTCCTCAGTTGATGTTATTTTGTTCCACAGTTTCATATCTCTCTTATCACGTATTTCTTTAATGTGTGTTCGTTTTGATATATAACCATTCTTATGTGCACGTTTAATGAATTTATCTATTTGGTTCAAATATTTACCGTCATATGCACAACCCCACAGCTCAATAGCAAAAGTGAATATCGACATAATTAGGCTATCAAACAGCAGATCTAATTGTTTAATTGATAGGCCATAGTATTTGCAAACTCTCATAATATACATTTGTCCACTTGCTTTTTTGAGCATTTCTTCGAAGTGCAAATCCCAGTTGCACGGATTATCTTGTAGAGTAACTCCTAAAAGCGTTAGCCATGTTTTTCGCTTAATTGAAGGGATAAGCTCAGGCAAAACTACAGAGGTGTGTCTTCGAACAACCATTTCGTACGTTTTTTCCAAGTTTAAGGGCATTCTATTCTCTTCCGCCCAATCCTGTAAACAGGCAGTTTCAGATCGAGATGTGTCACCACTTTCGTTGCCAGGCACTCCTGACGTCAAATCGTCAGCAAATTTGACTAACGCATTACTAGGATCAGCAGTTTTAATATCATCAACCATTATTGAGAAAAGAACTGGGCCTAAAACGGTACCACGATTAATATATAAATATTCTGTAACAATTCCATCAACCATTACTCTTTGTATTCTATTTTCTAGAAAGCTAATTATCCAGTTCACCACATACGAATTAATTAGCTTTTAACTTTTTCAAACAAAAGATCGTGGGGCACACTGTCAAATGCTTTGCTGAAATCGAAGGACAGCACTCTAACATAATTAGCGTTTTTATCCAGCCACTCTAGCCATTGATGTTGGGATTTAATCAGGGCTATAGTCGAGTTGTGACCCTTTTTATAAGCAAATTGGTCAGGACCAATGTTATTTCTTGTGATAGGTGCGATTTCAGATTTATACACGCACTTCTCGAATAGTCTCATGATGATGTCCGTCAGAGAGATTGGTCTTAACTAGTTGCACGAATTTAATGGTGATTCTTTAGGGAGTGGTAATAAATTAGCGGATTTCCATTTCTGAGGTACTTTGCTGGTTTTTAGTGACATGTTAAAAATTTCTGTGACAATAGGAGCTAATTCAATAGCAAACGATTTCCAAAACCAATATGGCAGATTGTCCGGACCCGATGAAGAGCGTTTTTGATTCAGTAAAAGATGTTGAACTTCATGAATTGACAACGAACGAATTCTTGTTCCTTCGGAGATTCGTAGAGGCTCGGGAGTCGTATAATTTGGGTCTGTATTCACACTTTGAAAATATTTGTTAATTTCACGAGGGTTAAGAGAAGCACTTACAGATACATCATGTTTCTTTTTTCTCGAGGTAATGCTATTTACGTTAGACCACCAACTTTTCGATCCAGTTTTCTGGTTTCCAAACTCCTGTTTGACTGCACTTAATTGATTTTCCCGAATTAACTTGTTGATTTTTTCTTGCAATCGTGTATTTGCTTCAGTGTTTCCTTTTTGTATGGCTCTTTTCCTTTGATTCAGAAGGTGGTTCACAAGAGGAGACATGAACGGAGGGTCGCGTGATGACGTTCTGACCTTAATTAATGGGAAGCTCTTATCGAATTTTGGCCATATTATTTCATAAAATTTTAGGATTATCTCATCTAGGTTATGACTATTCGTAATTATCGTGTTCCAATCAATAGATTCAAGTTCGCGAAGCATATTCAATTGATGACGTTGTCTCACATCTCTGAAATAGGAATTTGCTTTAACTATGTTTCGGGGGTATGTGATAACCATATCATGGTCGGATCTCACCAAGCTTTTTACAACTTTAACAGATTTCCAATAGTTTGGGACATTTGTAATAAAGACATCTAATATTTTTAGCCCTCTCGTAGGGGTCTTAACGAGTTGGGTAAATGGAAGTTGATTAAGAACAGATCGAATATTTAAATTGTTAATGTCACCAGCAATTATTATATTTGAATTCGGTTTAGATAACAATAGTTGTTCGCACGAGTCAATAAGGAATTCGATAAGGTCTTGCTCATTATACTCATAGTCAGGTGGGTGGTAAATAGTTGCAACAAAGAATTCAGAGTTTTGTGTAATAATTTTTGTCCATAAACATTCGAATGGATTATCCAAATCAGGTAGTAGCTGCATTCTCCAATCATTCCTGCATAAGATAGCGACACCTCCTCCTCGACAGTTTGTTCTATCCTTTCTAATGATGGAAAAATTGGGAGGACAAAGGAGGGAGCTAGGTATAGTCGGTTTGAGCCATGTTTCGGTTATACAACAAACATCTATGTTATTGCACTTAATGTCTACGCACAAAGCAGGAAAAGCATCAGGTTTAGCAATAGATCTGGCGTTCAACACTGAGCAACATGGAATTAAGCGTGGTTGACTCGGGGCAGTTTTATTTACTTGTATAGGTCTCAAAGTGCTGCAATGCCTAAGAGATTTTATATGACTGTGCTGTCTTGTGCGTGGAGTAATTCTGACGGGTATCTTATTTAGTTGAGTGGTTTTATGGGTAACATTGTTAAGGAAGGGACAAACAAACTTGGATGAATCGTAGTCACCTGTCAACGCCTGGGCGGTCTGGTGTAATTCATCATCAGGGGTGAAGGGTTCTGATTTGGGTAACTCATTGGGAGCTGTATGGCTGGAGGATAGAGATTTGGATATTGTGACCATATAGGGGTTCTTGGAATTTCCATTAAAGGATTCAATGCGGGTAAATTTCTCCAAGGTTCTCGGTAATAATAATTCTGGTGCGGCTGAAATGGGTTGGTGAATCGGTGGGATAAAAAAGAATCAGGAGAAAAATCACACATCTTTTTCAATCACACATCGTGGGGAAAATCACACATCTTTTTCTTCAGACAGTACTCTCTTTTATGCAGAAAAGGACATGGTATATTGCACTTCCGTGTTTCAGATGGTTTTGGGTGTTTAAAGTCGATGCGGTCGCCTTTAAAACATCGACCACGGCGTATTGAGCTGAGGTTACTTTTGTTAGATTGTTCACTGGCATGAAAAGCGGCCGCTTTGTCAATACCTTTGGCTTTGTAAACTGATGAGCCAGGTTCTTTGTCTTTATCGACATTAAGTTATCTTGAGAAACGACTTTTCAAGAGCCAACAGCCTTGCTTTAAGGAATTGATTCTCTTCATTAAGAGTACAAATCACATCGTCTTGCTGTCTTATAGCGGCTTCCGTTTCTTTCTGTTTAACTCTGAGCAGATCAATATCTAACTCAAGCTCATTTTTGGAAATTGCGGCAAATAATCGCGATTCTAAAATTGTTATTTCTAGCTTCAAGCCCTCTAGATCAACAAAGCAGGAACATTTACATACTTCCAGTACATTAGGATGTACTGTATCGCCATCGCCAACAATCGCTCCATCAGTACCGTTCTTGCTATCAGCTTTGTTTCCTTTACTCTTGTTCACCAAGCTCTCAAACTTCTGTGTTAAAAAGTTCTCAGCACTGTCTACTTGAATCACAAGTTTCTGGGACCGCCAGCCAAACCATTTAATAACAAGGTCAGACTTTGTAGCACAAAACAGCTTCGCTTCGCCTCCTGGAGAGCTCCACTTCCCTTTAAGATTTAAAATTTCATCAACAAAGCACTTTAAGTCGGCCAAGGAACCGGTCCAAAGATAGGTATCACCATCGTGTATCAACATATTAAAATGTGGATAAGATTAAATGTAGATAATGAGTAGAAAAAATATAAAATAAGCGGAGCTCACAAAAACACGTCTGACTCACAGTAGGACCATATCGGTCAATGATAAGATATCCTTAGTCTGCTTATCCTTAGTACTCTTAAGATATCCTTAGTCTGCTCTTCTAAACGGATACATGGAATCACCTATAGCTTATTTTTAATTTTTTGGCGCCAGGTTTGTGACATAATTTACCCGCCAAAAAGTAGCAGTTCCAAAATAAAATAAAAAAAAACATACGATTTGTAAGAATGATATGTTCTATGTTCATGGGATACAGTGGCGAAGCCAGCCTGACAATTTGGTCATGCTATGCAAATATTTCCGTGTTCATAGACCGTGAAAACAATCCATTTCTAAAGAAAGAAAAGAATAATGATAATGATTTAAAATTTGCATAGCATGACCAAATTGACGAATTGTCGGGCTGGTTTCGCCATTGATGGGATATTTAGTACAAACGGGATGAAAATTAAAGAAATTGAAGCATACTGGCGATTTTGCATGCATTTTTTGACAGGCATGCAAAGAAATTTGCAACAGATGCCATCATGCCAGGAGATGCGCTGGGTGGGGACGAGGTTCTCTAGGGTTCCAGAACATTACCCTGATCCAGGAAGACTCCCACTACGCTGAATGATGGACAACAACAACCTGTTGATAATTTTGCCTCTAGAGCCAATCTAAAACGGTTTTTTAAAGACGGTGCCATTTCATCTGGCGTTGGTTCGATTCCGGATTCTGGGGGGGGGGCATTGAAAATATTAAAAACTTGGAGGGGGGTATCGAAAATGTACCAATATCCTCAACAGGGACCCTGTAAAATATGAGCTTTTTTCAAGATATGTTTACCCCGCCCCCCTTCGACATAATAAATGTAACCTGGGAACCCAACAGGTTCAACGGAGTTACCTGCGGAGGAGGCAGAACACGAATTCGTGTTGAGTCTGCACACAGGCTAGGCTAAACATGTTCAAGGTCTTGTTGATGGAAATTATCGAGTGGAAATTTATATACATTTTCCACTCGATAATTTCCATCTACAAGATCCTTCAACAATTATTGATTCGAGTGAGGTGCCAACAAAATCTCGATATTTAGGCTAAACATGGCCCACATTCTACTCTGCCGACACCTTTACAAACCTACTTTGAGAGGTAAAAAATGGAAGAAATATGATGAAAAATGTTGGCATCACGTGATGCTAATGAAGAATTATTTTTTATTTAGACAAATATATTGATGTCAAAGTTCTGCCCTCCACTCCAGATCATTTTAATGCTGTTAGATTTACAACAAATGGTGCAATTGATGAAAATTTTACTGCTGATCCTACAGTCATGTACAGGAACCAATGGTCAATCTTAGAGGCGGAGATGGTTGATTGCTACAACAATGTTGTCCGTGAACTGAGTAATGACTACAACATTGGTTTACAGTTGTTCAACGATAAGGGAAAGATGATGGAAATGGAATACAAACATGTGGAATTTCAAAATAAAAGGCTTCGAGTACAAGTGAAGATTAATGAGGCTGGGAAATATCATCTAATAACTCTGATCAATAGGAACAATCACGATCAAGTAATCCGTTTGAAAGAGATTCAAATACAAGTCAATCACGCACCATTATACCTGGCCGGATCGAAATTCCTTCATCCCGAAACCTGCGTGGCTGGCAAAGAAATTCAGTTAGAAATTCATCCACTTGATGTATTTGGTTGCCCCTTGCCTGCTGACTTGACTACTGATTGTAATCTCAACGAAGATTTTGGAAGTTTACTTTTCGAACTGCATGAGAGCAAGAAAACCAAAAACGAATCGAATGTTGTAATTTGCGTTCCAATCGTCCTAAAAAAAGCTGGTCGTAGAAAACTGAGGATCTATGACAAGGATAATAAATCAAAAAAGTTAAGCATTCAAGTTAATCCTGATGAAAATGATGTGCACTGGGAGCTCACTGCTCCAAAAACTGCTTACAGAAGAGAAAAATTGATCTTAACAGTGCGCTTGTTTGATTGTTTTAATAATGAAGTACGAACTGATGCATTACAAAGTATCCCGCAGCTTACAAAGAGAGATGGGCCTGATGGATTGCGTTTTGCAGGAGAATCCAACAAGAAGGTTGCAATTCGTTGCTACTTCAAGCGAACAGGGAAATACGATCTTTGTTTAGCCAATCGAGATGGTACTTGTCTTGAGGGTACCTTTTTCTCAATCACTGTACAGGATGCTCCTTTAGATTATTACGGTTCAACCATTGAATGGATACCTGAATATGATGATATTCCAGATCAACCTGTGTTCCCCGAAGATGAAACATTTCAATGTTGCTTGAGACTGAAAGACGTACTTGGTTATGATTATGACACAAAAGTAGCAAACGATTGTATTAAAGTGAAATATGGTAACACCGTGGTGGAAAACATAGAGGTCTCTTCTTGTCCAAACGATGTTGGATCCTACAATATTGTGGTTCCATTGGAGAATCTTGTGAAAAATGATGCAAGCCCGAGATTTTGGTTCTTTGTAAATGGCAGGAAAATTGAAAACTCCTTGATTTTGCCAACATTTGAAAGATTTGAGAAGTATGATGATGATGATAGGAACTGTGTTGTACAGTATAGAAGACATTCATTTGTAAAGATGGTTTGCTGTGGTGTTAAAAGAAACGACATCATTGGAAGTGATAATGCTCACATTAATAATATCAAGAGAGTTTGCGAATTGCAAGACGATCCCAAAGTTGAAACTTGTCAAGTCGATGAACCAATTAGAGCAGATGACATTCGTACAGGTACAGTTATTGAACTTCCACTTGACGAAATCGAATACAAAAGGCTGGGACATCGGAGAATTGAATGTCCACCTGAAGAAATCGCAAACAAAATACAGAAATGTCGGAAAATTTTGTTGCGTCTTGTTTGGGCTACCCATTATCGCAAAAAGGCGTTTAAATTTGATCAGGCACGAGAAGACTGGAAAGAGAGGGCAAGTGAAAATTACAGCAGAATTGAAGAAGGAGAAAATATTGATAAAAACATTCCTCGTTTTTGCAGCCAAATCAAAGAAAAATACGCCAGACGTATGAGAACATATCACGATGCTGCATGCGACGAGTTTTTTGAGTTTTTTAATGCTGAACGTGATCAGAGTGAGATTGATCTTCATGGATTGTTGGTTGTAGATGACAAGAAGCTCCGGGATTATGAGCGGCAGCTTCTTCGCAGATCTAGAGATCGCATGAGTTTGGCGCAAGTGCAAAGTGAAATCGAAAAAGAACGCAATCATGGCAATGAGGCTATAAGGTATTTATTTATATACTCTCTTAATTAATCTCTAATTTATACCGCAGATATATAATATATATTTGTAAAATTTGACATAGTCCCTTGTAGGTTTGATCCAATAGTCATTAATTAATTATAATTCATTTGATTTTGTGGAAAACGCCAGGGGTGTTTATTCGTAAGCTTAAAAAGACAAACCGGACGCGATTCGCCAACACGGTGCGATTTTCCGATTTTCGTTGACCGATAACTTTGATCCTGGTTTAAGTTTTCTAAATATTTTGAAGCACTATACCATTTTGAGTTGTTTGGTCTACACTTCTTTTAAAATTTAATTTCATTGGCTGTTTTATTGACTTTCAAAAACTGAAAAATCGCGCCGCGTTGTCGAATCCCGTCCGGTGTTCTCGGCCTTCAGTAAATAGTCTGCCCCAACCACTGGCCCCAACTCTTATATTACGATCTCTACGATACTTCTTATTTCCCTTTTCTGTCCAAAGACTGAAGTATAGTCAAAAAGGGTCTAGTTAGAGCTCTTTTACTAGCTAGGCGCCGAGGACGTTCAGCAGATCTTACTTGGGAAGGATTCCCAACTTGAGAGGGATATCTAGAAGAGGGCCAAACCAGGGGAAATTGCCCTCTGCCCTTCTTAACAGCTTTGTTAGTAGAAATTCCTTTCACTATTGCAACCATAGGAAATTGCGAAAAAGGCTTGATAATTATGACATGAAAAAAGCCAAAGAAGTGGGCGTGCCATGGCTTAAGATCATCGTTGGTTCTGGTCATCACTCTAAAGTACGGCAAAACTGTAAATTGCGGCAAGGAATCCGACCAAAGGTTGAAGAGTACTTAAGAGAAAGAGAGTTGGAATTTTCTTCAGTTAACAAAGGAGCTTTGGTGGTCACATTTGGAGTACGCCGGAAGTGAGCCATGTTTTGGAGAGTATTATTGCAACAAATGTGACAAGAGATGGCGAAATGGTCGAAGTTGAGTGCCAAAGTGGCAATCTTGCTACGACTGCTACGAAAAGAAACAATTACTCAAGAAATGTTACCCACTTGAGCAACGATCTACAAGAAAACAGCAGAGGTACACTCCCAATATTGTTTCAAGAAACCAACGGCGAATTCCCGAACACCTTCAAAGACTTTGTGAAAAGTGTATTGAACTTGGAATGCCATGTTCACGAGCGTGATGGTACGAGGGAGAAGAAATTTCTCCAAGAAGTGAAAGAACTCGACAATTTTAAGGATTTTGATTAGATTTAATTAATGTATTGATTAAGCTCAAAATGGATTATATCAGGACATAGGTAAGGTCTAGACCATTAGAATTAGTTATCTCAAACTCATTAATAATTCATGAGTAAATTAGCCAACCATATTGCTATATTTTGCTCACATGATAATACTGGATACTTGGTGAAGTATATATTGATGCAGTCATAGGACTGGATCAAAATTAATTCAGTCCTTGGAATGGATGAGATGTTATTTCAAATCCTCCAATTCAAGACTGTACTAGATTTTAAGTCCGCTCCTGTCCTCGGCTTCGCCTTGAACTTATCAAATTGCGCGGACTTGAAATCTAGTACAGTCCTCATAGTCGGATTTTAATTCAATATTACTTCTCAAACTCATTGATAATTCGTGAATAAATTTATAGCCAACCATGTTACTTTATTTTGCTCATGTGCTTGCCACATTTGTTCTTTGTCAATTACAGTGTTTTCATTTAAAAAAAAGGGCCACTCATAATTAACGTTGTCATGTCGTTTTGAAATCTCGATAGGCCGAATACAATAAAACTGCTTATGTATGTTTTGTCTAGGTTTTTGCAAAAGATGATCAGTACATTGATCAGCGCAAAACCAATGCACATGTGTCAATGATCGACCATATTTTTGCATCAACCTAAACCAATGAAACTTATAGACCAACATAGACAATGAATCAATTTACAGGGTGTCCCAAAAAGAATGCAATAACTATGTTCCACGTTTTTGCACAGCTTATAAAATGAGCATGATCGAAAATTTAATCTTGCGAGAAGTATTTTGACACTACTATTATTACAATTGGTCTAGAAGGTGTCATTAAACCTATTCATATTGACTGTTTACACAACTGATTCATGTTTTCAATGATCCATTGGGTGAACCGGACTTTGTTCATTGGTTCTAAATTCTAATGGACCAATCTTAATAATACTAGTGTCAACCCTGTATTGAATTTCATGGGATTTTTTTGTATTTCATAATTTCATAACCGACTTTAACTTTAGTCTATTTACTACCTTGTAACACTCGTTTCTCTATATTTTTGTTTGACATTTATCCCTTCGAAAAAGTGACGATTGAAAAATTTGACGATTAACGCAAGTTGAACGTATAAAGCAATTTTTGCATAGAAGATACTCGTAGACTAATAATTTTCAGTCTTAACGAAAAGACAAAATGTCTTGATTTTTAATGTCTTTAGCTTGTAATACATAGATCACTAATCTGGAATATGCTATAGTAGTATGGGTGTATAATTTAAGCTAAAATTTGACTACAGACCTATAATCGACTAACGCATTTGTATCACCATTGCATGCTTTCTGATCTGAAAACTATCGGGAAAGGATACTCTATCCTGTCCTACCGTTTCGGATGTAATTCCTATGCAAAGCTACCTACCACTGATAGATTAAGCATAGAATGGAACGGAGGTAACCAAACATTTAAAAGATATAGATCAGATGAATGGTTACCAAGTGTGTTAGGCAATTAGGTCTTTGGGTGCATGAATTATTTTGAAATTGTTAAAGATATATATATTTTCATTGATTTATAAAAAGTATGCAATATCGCTTATTCATTGCCCAAAAATATCCAATCATTCGTATAAGTAGTTATATACTCGGGGATAATAATACATTTTCATATTTATTCCAATTCCTCATATAATTGTATAAAATCGCTACTTTTTATCTGACAAATAACATTAAATACAAAGAACCAAATCCAGTTCATTTCTTGAGGTCAGTCTATGTAGTTTGACCATTGATGGAGTGACTTTGTGTCATGGCACTGTTCGGTATTTTTATTCTGGTTATTAGTTGCTGGGACACCTATGCCGGCAACAATAGGTTTCGGGTGAATCTCCACAAAATGTGTTCTTTACAAAATGGAAATATCCCACCGCTTTATATACAAAACGCTAGATCCAATCTTTAAGACCCTTTAATGTTAATGTTTTGCAGTAGAATAAATGGAAATTAACAGAGTTGTTTTAGTTGGTTTTTTATTCTCATTCCCAACAAAAGACCAAACTGCATGTCAGCATTTGATCAATTGGTCAAAAACCTCATTTACAACGTTGTGCTTTCTATAATCTGAAAATGTTTGAACAGCTATAAAATAGCTTTGTAAAGAGTGTCGAGAATGTTGCCTCCAAACTGTAGTCCTCGACAAGTCACAAAATAAAAACCATTTAATAAAAATATAATTCTACAACAACAACAATACTCGTGCTCGATGCACTCACAGCGTGTCCCTAGTCACTACCTATTCTCACTCATCTCTTGTTACAGTGTCACGTGATATCTCTAATAATAATTGATATTGCTAATACTAATACTAATAACTATTCTATCTATGTAATATATAATTGTAAAGGCTTATCTGTCAGTTCTCAACA